TAATTTGACTTTTTGTTTCACACGGGACATGGCTCCTGGTTGTAAGTCTGGTTACTAGCCCTCTGTCCACCCCAACCACCTCTTTACTGTTTTATCTGTTTAATATTACTGTATATACTTACCTTTACAAAGTGACGCTACAGGGCTTCGTCGGCGGTTCAATCCTGGCTCCCCAAGGCTGCATTTCGAAGTGTCCTTGGGCAAGATACTGAACCCTGAATTGCCCCTGCCGGCTTTTCCGCCGGTGTGTGAATGAATGAAAAGACTAGAAAGGCAAGTATGGAGCATTTACATTACATTACATTTACATCCCCAGTTACAAACTGACACGACGGGTCCTGACCATACGTCCATATGTGAGGATAACAAAATCACTCAATAAGCTTAGTTTTCATAGTGGATTACATATAACTACCACACTGCCACACACAGCATACACACTGAGTTGTACTCAGGTGGTGGGTGCTGGATTTGGGTTGGACAGTGTACCATTTTTTCTCCACCGTGAAAATAATACTCAAGAGCACCACCAGTAAACGTTCCGACCTGTGTTGTAATACCATAAACACACACAATGAAGTTAATTTGTTGACTTAGGTTTGGGAGCGGGGCCACGCCTCAACCACACCTTCAATCACCTGTCAAGGCTACATATACCGCTCCGCTCAGCCTGAACCGCTTGTTTCAGATTGCTCGATCCACCCTCACCTTTTTTCTTCCTTTCATCCATTCATCCCTACACACATCCACTCATCCTGTCTTCCCTCATCCCTTCATCCCATCATCCCATCATCCCATCATCCCCCATCCCTGCTCCCTTCTTCCCCTCATCCCTTGCTATTCAATCAGGGCACAGCTCTCTCACGTCTCATCTAGATACTGGCTTGAAATAAGCTTGGGCGAAACACTTCTGAGACAGAACCCCCACACTGAGTCTCTCTGCCCGGTCTTCTGTACACACTCTCAGATCAGCCAATCCGAGACATCCTTCTTCCCACATCACCCTTCCCCTCTATATGCATTAATCCATCCTCCATAATCATGCATTCCATATTTGCATGTACCTCTAAATCACATTGCTGTGGCGTGGTCCTTGCTAGTGAAAGGGGTATTTACTGATGACATTCACTTTAGCTGAACTCTATTTGCAATAAAAGCGGGGCACAGCGGTAGTCCTTTTCTCAATTTAATCATGGAGGGTTCTGTCTTCTTATGCAGTTAGGGAGTTCATTTTGTATTGGACAATGATCTCTCCTTAGGATACAAAGTAAGGTAAAGAGAAAAGAAAACTGAGCATCTCATCCAGCGAGATAAGTCTGTATTCAGGAAACAAAGATCAGTGTTGATCAATGTCCTCTGCAGCTCATTCCAATCATAGAGACTGTCCTTTAGTCCCTTGAGGCTTAGCCAATGGCAACTTTTGTTTATGTTCTGACTAGTAAAGTTGTTTTCAGTGTGTGTTTTCAATGTATTTAAATCTGAATTTAAAGCCAGAATTCTGACTTTAATCAAAGTTCATTAACTCAAATACATTTTTCAAAAATGGCCCTTATCCTCTTCCATACAGTTTCAACTTTCTGTCACTGTTTTGGCATGGAGAGAAGGGGTGTGAGGGGAGGGGCAAGTAAAGCGTGTTGCATATAATTTGTATATAATCTACAATTGTGCTTTTTTCAGTTAACCACTGCATCACTGTTGGGACTACTCAAGTGGGAAGCTTCCGGTCTACAATATGAAGCCGATGCGGAAGTCCCTGAAACCTGCATTCTATTGACTATCCAGCAGGGGGCAACTCTTCTGGTTGCAAGAAGAAGTCCGGCTCCATTAGAAATAATGGCAAAATGACCCTACTTCTCAACTGAATAATTCCCTCAGTAAACACTTTCCTGATGAGTTTATGGTCTCAGTCACTAGTTTCAAGTCTTCTTCAATACAAAATGATGTTCATTTAGTAAATTATTAATTTTAAATAGACCACAAAGCAGAGTATGTTTCAGGGTGGGAATCTATGTGACAAGTCGTACTCTCTGAACTGTGTAAATTTAACCAGCACCATTGAAAAAGGTTATTAGGAGTTGGCTGTTCACTTTCTCTGGTGAGTACATTTAGTTTTAAGACTGTTGTTCGCTAGACAAAGTTATCAGCCCTGTTAAATGACAATTAACGTGAGTTACAGTTGCACCTAGCTAAGCAAGCTAGCTAGCTCCGCACATGGCCGTTAGCTCCGCCGTATCGTCACTTCCGGGCACTTCCTTGTTGCAAAAATGCGACATCAGACAACTCGAGGCTTCAAAACGATCACAAACCAACTGGTGACGTCACAATACCTACGTCCATTTCTTATATACAGGTGCTGGTCATACAATTAGAATATCATCAAAAAGTTGATTTATTTCAGTAATTTATTTTTTTTTTTTTCGGAGATACTGATTTTGGGATTTTCAGTAGTTGTCAGTTTTAATCATCACAATTAATGAAATAAACATTTGAAATATATCAGTCTGTGTGGAATGAATGAATATAATATCCAAGTTTCACTTTTTGAATGGAATTACTGAAATAAATCAACTTTTTGATGATATTCTAATGTACAGTCTATGGACTACTACGTGAGAGTGACATTATGTGTAGAGGGGCTACCTACATGGGGCTACGCTACTTTAGCTAAACAACGGCATAGGGACCGAGCATAAAAACTCATCAGTGTGGGAGAATTTTAGATTTACCAAGAATGACCAGGAGGTTGTTAAAGATGACGGACACCCAATCGCAAAACTTGACAAAAAAGTTGTAGCTAAAGTTTCCAACACCTCAAATTTACTGCAACATCTATGAGATCAATACAATATAGTAAGACACTACGTAATAACTGAGTTAAGAAAGAATTACTTTAGACTACCTCTGATACTGCTGCAGTTCAACCTACTGTTGCAGAATCCTTGGCAAAATGTGTCTTACGCTCCCTTTTTAAAACCAGCCCAAGAGTTGATTAAAGCTATGACCTGTTTCATCTCCAAAGACATGATGCCATTTCAGATTGTGTAAAAAGTTGGATTTCTTCATCTAATGAAAAAGGCAGTACGGTTCACTATTTGTCCTCAGAATGGCAACTCAAGTCCCACTAACTTGAGACACTGTGTTTTCAAGAAGACCACATGACAGTATAGCACTGAAAAAATGGAAAACCTGCTCCAGGACTGGAAGATAAAGATAGAAGTCTGTCTGGAATTATAACAGAGTGCATGCAGAAAGCCATTTGAACATTTTCCTTGTGTTTGGTTTTCTTCATTTGGTCACAGTTTAAATCTGGCAATTTCCAAAGTCCTCAACATGCCAAGGGTGGAATCCCATGCCCACATTTGTTGCAAGGGATTTGTTAAAGTTGGAAACGGAAACAAGAGCTTCAAAAGAAGCAGGCAGACTTGAACATCCCTGAGCAGGCACTGACTCAAGATGTGGCCACCAGGAGGGGATACCACGTTTGAAATGATTTCCAGGTTCTTGGAGCAGCAGCAAGCCGTCTGTTGGGTACTAGCAGCAGAGAGAAGCACATGACATCTTATGCCTAAAGACAATGGCATCACTGTCCTGGAGGAAGTAAGCCAGCTTCTTTGCTTCTTGATTTCACTGAAGTCATGGCCTCAGAGAGAAAGGTCACACTTTTCCTACTTGAAGTCAGCCTCCAGACGTGACCACACAAAGCACCTACATCACTACCAAGAGGAAAGAAGTGCCTATCTGGATTGTTACAGCGAATCACCAATGCTAGGAAGAACAGGTCAGCAGCAACAGTAAGTGCAATGCCATTAACCCTAGAAAAACTTCATACTGAGGTGAAAATGTACTTTAAAAATGTACCTTCCTACAATCATTGCAGATGCTTACCCACTGGCTTAGTGGAAGGCACAAAAGTGCCAGAAAGTATGTGTGTATACAAGTTACAAACGTGCCTTCAGAAAGGGTGGTCAGTACAAATGGCCATATCCATATCCAAAACCGTCTCCTCAGCGGTCAAGACTGAGCTCTGAAACGGGAACATGCTCACATTTCTGCACTATGATACAAACTGAAAGTTATAATAATTATATGCAAACCACACTCTCCTTGCCCCTCCCTTCAGACCCCTCCTCCACGCCAAAAAAGGCCGAAAGTTGAAACTGTACAGAAGAGGATTAAGGCCACATGTGAAAAATGTATTTAAGTTCTGAGATTTTTGAGAATAATCTCAGAGCTCAAATATTTTTTCACGTGTGGCCTTAATCCTCTTCTGTACACTGAAAATAACTGAGACTGAAAAAAAAATCTGACAGTAGGGGACAGTACTTAAATGATTTGTCCAACTCTTAGCATGTTTAAGAATCACTGAATCATTCTCTGTATTTGTCACAGGTTTTGCATTAACAAATAAAATGCAGTATGTACAGTATGTGTTTTTGTGTATAATCATATTTAGTATATCATTCTATTTGGAGCAATGTTTAATTTCTAAGCAATTAGTATCAAAACAATTAAAACTGGCTGAATAAATTGGTTAAGAAACATTGCTTTACAATATTGAATATTTTTAAATTTTTAGAATATACAATATTTATAATATTGTATTTAAAACTCAAACATAAAGGAAGGTATGTGAAGTTTGGATGTTGCAATTAATTCTATATCCTATATCAGACTCACAGACCAGCTTGTTTCAATGATGATGCACTTTTAATTTTGAAAAAGTCAAGAAAGAACAAATAACTCTTCAGAATAAGGCTTTGCTAAAATAAATCTTTTCATAACACATTCAGTTTGCTCTTATTAAAGACACAAGGTCTCAGAAACAATCCAGCTCCTGTTTTGTCACCTGTCGCTTCATTCCTTAAGTAGCGTTACAGCGATAGAAAAGAGAAAGATGTCAAATGAGATAATGATCCTTCTGGTTATATGAAATTGATAGCATGAAAACACATCGACCAGGAGTTTGTGCTTTGTACAGCTCGACCATGCCTCTGTTTCAGCCAGGAATCACATCAGAATAACGCTGCAGACTGAGGGGAGACGAGCATCACACTGCGTTTCATTTAAGCATCCATGTGCATTTCCTGTAAGTACCAAAACACAGGAGTCAGTAAACTCAGCACAAACTAAGACCTTAACCTGTCTAATGATGCATCACCATGTAGAAACATGTAGCTTCAGATATATATAGACCAATGCACTTTTATTTTGTTTTTGTTTCATTACAAATATGAAGAAATACACACCACTTTCTTCCGTAGTTTCTGCTGTCCTGAATTTGTAATCTGCATCTGTATCAGCTGGACAATTTAACACAGCAGTTATTGACTTGGGACATCTGCTCTCAGCCATTTCCGTGTTTTTGTAACAATAAACGGATTGCACCATCTTTGGCTGTGATTGAAAACTCTGCTTCTTTGTCCTCTCATGTTGGACTGAGGGCAGACTGGACACTACAATGACTCACTATTGCATATCAAGGCACAAGTGGGATTACAAAACAAGCTGGTTAGGTAACTTTAGTAGATATCAATCACTGAAACTCATGTTGGTTCACTTTTTTAACTAAACTTCTGACCAAATCTTCTTACACATTGTTCTTTAAACTGATTTTATAAAACCAAAGAATATTTGCCATGCAACACTTTTTATTTGTCCAGAATCATTTATACCACTCTTACATAATGTCAAGTTGAATTGATTTACCTCCTACTTGCAAACAGTGGGGCGCATATGTGCTCGCCCGTGAATCATACTCATGGGCCAATCAGGATCCTGTGAGGCAAAATAGAACAGAGTATTGTTAGCTTAATATCAGTTCAGAGCAGTGGCGGTCTGGTCATCTGGAATACCGGGACAATTCCCACCGGGCCGGCCAACCTCCGGGCCAGTGGGACACCTTCCTTAGCTTTTACTCTCTTACTAATAATACTAAAAAGTTGGCAGAAGGTTGAGCGACACCGGCCAACCCCGCCTTCTCCCCAGACCTGTTGGTCAATTCCATATGAAGGTATACACAGACCTTAGCCCTGCCACTTCCATCTCACTCACACACACCACAGTGACACTGACAGCTGGAAAACGAGCTACAGTTAAAAACGTTCAGGGTCGGGCTAAAAAGTTCACAGACAAAAGAGTCAAAAGTCTTTGCTGAAATGCAAGTAAATGTAAAAAAGTAACCAACTCGTCCACAGTAGTAGTAGGCTAGTATTAGTACCAGGGCCACAGACGTTGTGTAATTTTATTTAGCTAAAAGAAGCATTTATTTGATTCTGATTGTTTTTGTCTTTTCATTCTATACATTAATGTTTTAGACATTTACATATGTTAAGTAGCTAATTTTATTTAATGTCTGCCATTGGTTGCAATAGCCTCTACACATTATAAAACTAATCAGTGCTTCCTCTCTCAAATTTATATTTTGTGTGGGAGAATGTGTCTTTAGTGATTTGCTAGATATGATGCTCATCGACAAGATTGCTGCCTCTTCACCTCTTACTAGACAATACATTGAAACTCATCAACAGGTGTAAACGGTGAGTAAAGCCACACAGTAACATTTGTTGTGTTGCCACTCATTCACTTGCTATGAAATAGTGGTGCCGCTGCTGTTTTTTTGAAGTTTTTCAAAATTTAGTAGTTTACCTTTAGTAGTTTATAATTTATATATTTTATTTATATTCAGGTTGATGATCGGTGCTGCTCTCTTAGGTTATTTTCTATGTTTGGAGAGGTGTTCACCCTGTTTTTTATTATGACTTAAAGCCAACCAGCTGACCCTGAGCAGCAGTTAGACAGTTCTCTGTCTCAGAGAGGATTGTGGAAATTTTAGTCTTCTAGTCTTCTTGTGATGTGAGGTAGTTCAATCATGCCAATTTCAGTATGTGTACTGCCATAGTGATCAATGGCTGTGATGCTGCTAGGTGGTTTATTAGAGGCTGGACCTGTTTTAAAGTGTGTGAATTAGCAGGGCGGTGGAGTATACGGTGCACCGTTCTGATGGCCTGGCTGGATCAAAGTCCAGGGCCATTTTTTATTCCCAGTTCGTCCCTGATTCAGAGAATATTGTTTAAAAAATGTCAGACCTTGTGTATTGATAAATGATATACCTCAGAAGTATTACAGGCTCCAACCCAAATTTGCCCATTCTTATGACCGGCAGTCTTCATCACATCATAAATGTCATCCAAAGTCTCAATGACATTTGCAAGGGTTCCCATCCCGGACTGGCAGTTTCGCTAGTGGAGATAAACAGACAGAGTGATGTCCGCAAGGAAAACAATAGTAAGAGGACATTGAAAGAAGATGCCAGTTAGCCCAATGTTCAAGTAAATGTGCTCTGAAATCATCCAGTTTACCTCCGCTTCAGTCCAAGTCAAGTGTTCTGCAACGTAGCGGAGACAACACACTCCAGTTCTGCACATAGTCCAACCATCAGAACAAGACAGTTCATAGCCGTCATGGTTGTCATCTGAAGACAAATAAATTAGAGAGAGAGATCTATTAAGTCTCCAGGGGAGCTGCACGACTATCTAGGTGCAGGTTCTCTGTGTTTGCAGGAGAACATTTAGACAAAGAGTGTTGCATTTTTCTAAAAGTGCATATATACACACCAACCTGGTTCTTTTGGACCTGTTGTCCAGCTGTCTGCATCTGTAGTAGCTGGACAATTTAACATAGCAGTTATTGAACTGGGAAATATGCCCTTTTATTTTTATTTATTTTTATTTATATATTGTTATTTAATTTCTGTATATATAATGTCTTAAACAGGTTTCATTACAAATATGAAGAAATACACACATATTACTGTAGTTTCTACTGGCTCAGGTTCAACAACCGGACAATTTTACATAGCAGTTAGTGAACTAGGACATCTGCTGGTTTATTTATTTTGTTATTTCATTGTGTTTAACAGTTTTCATTGAAAATATTAAGAAATATACACTCACATTCTACTGTAGTTTCCACTGGCTCAGGTTGGTCCTCTGCTTGTGGAAGAGCTGAATGGTGAGTAGTGGTGGAAGAAGAACCTTTACTTGAAGCAATATTTTGACATTATGAGAAATACACTTATTTACAGAGTTAGATCAAAGAAGGAAACTACTCCCATGTCTGTCCGTTTAAATCTGGCTGCTGTTTGCCTAGCTGAGCTGCAAACAGGGAGCCCCAGACAATCCGGCTGCTGCTGTATCACCTGCTGCATTTTTATTAACCTCAGGTTACTAACCTATTTTGGATTCAGCGCATCTTTGCTTGGGACTTGTTGTATGAAGTTTTAAAGTCAAAGCTTATGAGGAATGGCACAGCAGCTGCAGGTGTTTGTTGTCCTCTCTCACGTCCAGCTGATACTACATGTTATGTAGGCAGGTTATAAGTAGTGGAGGGAGGGGAATAACAGTAAGCTCAGACATCTATGTTAAACATTGTTCACGAGCCCCGCACCTCAAGTCTGAAGTCTGTTGAGGACAAGTCTCAAGTCGAGTCTGAATTCACGGTGTGTGCGACTTAAGTCGGACTTGAGTCCGAGTCTCAAACTTGAGTCCCCATCTCTGATGTGAGCACAGCTAAATGTATTTGATGATAACAAAATGGTTAGTGAGCTAGACTGAATATTATAAATGAGATTGTTGCCACACTTTATACCAGACTGCAGTAACTAACATTACAGTATTGAATGGGTCTTCCTCTGTGTTGTTGCATAATGGTATACTGTATTTTGTGGGTCACGTACACTGGGGCCAAAAAGTATTTAGTCAGCCACTGATTGTGCAAGTTCTCCTACTTAGAAAGATGAAAGAGGTCTGAATTTCCATCATAGGTACACTTCAACTATGAGAGACAAAATGAGAAAAAAAAAAACCAGGAAATCACATTGTAGGATTTTTAAAGAATTTATTTGTAAATTATGGTGGAAAATACGTATTTGGTCACCCACAAACAAGCAAGATTTCTGGCTCTCACAGACCTGTAACTTCTTTAAGAAGCTCTTCTGTCCTCCACTCGTTACCTGTATTAATGACACCTGTCCACAGCCTCAAACAGTCAGACTCCAAACTCAAACTCTGATGAATGACCGGCAGAGAGCGGGGACCAAAGTAACAAAGGCTACCATCAGTAACACACTACACCGAGAGGGGCTCAAATCCTGCAGTGCCAGGCGTGTCCCCCTGCTTAAGCCAGTACATGTCCAGGCCTGTCTGAAGTTTGCCAGAGAGCATATGGATGATTCAGAAGAGGATTGGGAGAATATCATGTGGTCAGATGAAACCAAAATAGAAATTTTTGGTTAAAAACTCAACTCGTCATGTTTGGAGGAAGAAAAAATGCATCCCAAGAATACCATCACTACTGTGAAACATGTTGGAGGAAACATCATGCTTTGGGGCTGTTTTCTGCAAAGGGGACAGGAAAACTGATCCGTGTTAAGGGAAGAATGAACAGGGCTATGTATCGTGAGATTTTAAGTCAAAACCTCCTTCCTTGAAGATGGAACGTGGCTGGGTCTTCCAGCATAACAATGATCCCAAAAGGAGTGGCTCCGTTAAAAAGCATTTCAAGGTCCTGGAGTGGCCTAGCCAGTCTCCAGACCTCAACCCCATAGAAAATTTGTGGAGGGAGTTGAAAGTCCGTGTTGCCCAGCGACAGTCCCAAAACATCATTGCTCTAGAGGAGATCTGCATGGAGGAATGGGCCAAAATACCAGCTACAGTGTGTGCAAACCTGGTGAAGACTTAGAGGAAACGTTTGACCTCTGTCATTGCCAACAAAGGTTATGTTACAAAGTATTGACTTAAACTTTTTTAATGACCAAATACTTATTTTCCACCATAATTTACAAATAAATTCTTTAAAAATCCTACAATGTGATTTCTCATTGTCTCTCATAGCTGAAGTGTACCTGTGATGAATATTACAGCCCTTTCTCATCTTTCTAAGTAGGAGAACTTGCACAATCAGTGGCTGACTAAATACTTTTTGTAATAATGTGGAGAGTGATACAACTCTGCATCGAAAAACGTTAGCAAGTGCTAGGTGTTGGCCAGCAAGATAACATGATTCTCTCTGTGACTGCAGCCTTTCAGATGTTGACAGGTGTGTGCTTCATTTCTATAAAGCCTCTTTAAGTAAAAGTACAGTATAATCAGCAAACTGCACATGAAGGCTTTAGGCTAATATAATCTATTATTGGATTATTATTATTATTATTGATGATTTCATGTTAAGGCAACAGTTAAAATCTGAGAGAGGCTGAAATGCACCACTCCCTGTGTGTCCAAATAATTTTTTATTCTTAGTGTTTCGTAATGTGTTGAGAAAATTCTCGTACTTCTTCTGTACGAACAGTGTTTTTTCTCTTAGCTCATGAACAGTTTAATCTTTGGAGATACATGGTTTTCAGAGGACAGGGACGAGACTTAATTGGTTGATCATATGTTTTAAAATCTTCCTCTGTAAAGTAAGCAGTAACTATAAAGTCAAAAGTAAAATTTTTCACTCTGCAATTTGGTAAATTAGAAGCAGAAAATGGAAACACTAAAGTAAATAGCATATAAACCTACTTTAAAAAATGTTCTCATGTTCAGTACTGTAGTAAATGCCAATCCAGCCCTGCCAGTAAATACTCACGGGTAGCTCGGGTCAGCACCATCATGGTGCACACTAAGAAAGTCACAGTGAGCATCTTCATGGTGGAGATGTTGCAGATATGAAAGTTGATGATGACCTTTCATTAAG